ACTCTGCCTTTGTTCGATATTCAATGAGCAACAGAGAGAATAATACTTTTGTGTCGCTTGTGTCTCTTGGTGGAAAACTACCATTACAATTCTTTGTTATAAATTAAATTATAAATTAAAGATAAACAAATCTCACGTACACATTTTTACAGGATTTTATCTCAATTTTGACAAAGTCATCTATTCTTCACAAAAATTTAAATTCGCGCGAATTTGAAGATAAGGACAATCTGTCGCTTTCATGCGGACTCAACCTAATGCGCGCGTGTGCTCGATAATTGAGGATCGACACGCGATTCAGTCAGCTGACCTGTCTTGTGATAGCAGCTAGACTTGACTCTGAGAAGCACAGTTCTCGTCGTTGGCTCAACTACGCTGGAAAACGTCGCATTCGTCGTGAGTATTATACAGAATTGGTCGTCCCGAAGCGCGACAATCCCAGTCTCTCGATCATTCAGGTGAATTCCAGTTTAATATTTCGCCGAATTTCACGTGAGCGAGCGAACGAACTCCGGCGCGCGTAGTATCGATCCAGTGGCACTTTGCGTACGCCATCGCTTTTCCGATCAGGCGTCAAATCTACGAATTTTAGGCCGATTTTCAGTCACGACGCGCCTGCCGATCGTTCGATCACACGTCGATGTTCGCGCGATCGATCGCGGTCGTCTGCGACGAGAAAGTGTTTCTTTTTGCCTAGCAGACGGCTCGCGGTCTTCGCGGGGCTACGCCTATTTTTTGAACGGCTTGCTCACGTGAATCGCTGCCAGCGTGTGACAGCCGAACTTTTCCGTAGGTCCGACTTTTTCGGCTGTGAACCGCACAGGATTGCTTGTTGCGAAGAATAATCGAAAAAATCCGAATTAGCAAGTTGCTTATATATATCTTTGTGTTTTTCTCATATCTTATTTATTTTATTAATGAGAAATGTACATTTAGGCTCTTTTTCTCTCCTTGTGAATGCGATCAGGGAAAAAATTAATGTAGAAAAGTGTAAAAATGTAGCTTAAAAAAGAATATTATACTGCTCTATTTATTTATATTAGATTTACAATTTTTATTACTGAGATTTCTTACATTATTAGATTTATTTAAAATGAAACAGGTGTGTATTCAAACTTGAAGTAGAGAAAGAAAAGAAAAATTGGTTAAAAGTATAGAAAACACAGCTGGAAAGATTTATTGATTGGTATAAATTTAGAATTTGTGTAATTGAATAATTCATAAATTATTAAAGGCACATTGAGGGATGAAGGAGAGGGAAAGAGGAAAAGAAATGAAGAAGAGTGAGTGTGAGGGAGAATGGATGAAAGGAAAAGATGTGAACCAAATTCTAGACTAAACTATGACAATAATAAAATAATAAATATTAGAGGCATGTCGATTCGTGCTATCACAACTTGTTTTTTTGTATTTGCTTTATCTAATCCATAAGTGTATTGTAGCAATTAGAAAAAATATGAGTAAAAATCCACACTTTTATGTTATCTAATATATTATATTTCTTATATATTTATCTAATATTTTTTATATATCTATTTCTAATATTTTTAATAAAATACAGGTATTATAAAGACAATAATAACATATTATTTGAGGGTAAAATGTTCAATTTGCATATTTTTTGTGTTCTTTATAATCTACATTGTTTTCTGCTAAACATAAAAACATGTTTTATATTAAATGCAGAGATATAACAAATGTGATTAAGCAAAACATTTATAGTCTCAAGTTTGTAGTAGATTACTGAACGATTGATTTTGTTTCCAGGTAAATTAATTGTTCAAAATGACGAACCAAAGTTTACTGAAGATTGTAAATGAGGACCGGGAAGGCAAGTTTGGATTTGTCTACGCAGTATCTGGACCTGGTTAGTTTATTTCACATGCATCTCTTTATTTTTCCTGTTGCACGTTTTCTCATTTAATATTCCGTTATCACAGTCGTCACTGCTGAAAAGATGTCTGGATCTGCTATGTACGAGCTGGTGCGAGTTGGCTACTACGAATTGGTAGGAGAAATTATCAGATTGGAAGGTGACATGGCTACAATACAGGTATATCAAAGCGTCCAATTATATATATTCACGCATTTTACCTGCATTTTGGAATATTAAGATAATTAATTCTATGCGTTCAGGTATACGAAGAGACAAGCGGTGTAACAGTTGGCGATCCTGTGCTTCGTACTGGAAAGCCATTGTCCGTCGAATTGGGCCCCGGCATTCTCGGCAGCATCTTCGACGGTATTCAACGTCCGTTGAAGGACATCAACGAGCTCACGAGCTCAATCTACATCCCGAAGGGTGTCAATGTGCCAGCGCTCTCGCGTACCGCCTCCTGGGAATTTAATCCGCAAAATGTTAAGAACGGCAGCCACATCACAGGCGGTGACTTGTACGGCATTGTGCACGAGAACACTTTGGTGAAGCATTGCATGATTCTTCCGCCCAAGTGCAAAGGCACTGTCACCTACGTCGCACCTGCTGGCAACTACACCGTTGATGTGAGATCTTCGTATTAAATGATTTTATTTCACATACATTTTCTTCGTATTATGTAAAACTCATGTAAATATGTGATATTCTTGTAGGACATCGTCTTGGAAACCGAATTTGACGGCGAGAGACAGAAATATACTATGCTTCAGGTCTGTAGGTCGAATATATGTACATTTGAATGTATCGTTTTGAATGTATTGCATGTTGTGAATTTATGGTTGCATGCAGGTGTGGCCAGTTCGTCAACCTCGTCCAGTTACTGAAAAATTGCCAGCTAATCATCCTCTACTCACTGGCCAACGAGTCTTGGACTCTCTCTTCCCGTAAGAATTTGCCTTCAAATATCTAGGTGTGCTCTTTACACTGGAGAGACACTCAGAACGTGCGTTCGATTTGTTTCCAGATGCGTGCAAGGTGGAACCACGGCTATTCCCGGCGCTTTCGGTTGCGGTAAAACCGTCATTTCGCAGGCCCTCTCCAAGTATTCCAACTCCGACGTGATCATCTACGTCGGTTGCGGAGAGCGCGGCAACGAGATGTCCGAGGTGCTGCGCGATTTTCCAGAGTTGACCGTGGAAATCGACGGCGTCACCGAATCCATCATGAAGCGTACCGCTCTGGTTGCCAATACGTCCAACATGCCTGTGGCCGCGCGTGAGGCGTCCATTTACACCGGTGCGCGATAAGTTATCGAGGAAAATTGCACATTACGCGTGTAAATGAAACTTTGCATCCAACGAGTAATCCATTCCGTTCATTACGCAGGTATCACGCTGTCTGAATACTTCCGAGACATGGGCTACAATGTTTCGATGATGGCGGACTCGACGTCCCGTTGGGCCGAGGCTCTTCGAGAAATCTCGGGTCGTCTGGCTGAAATGCCTGCCGACTCCGGTTATCCTGCTTACCTCGGTGCTCGTTTGGCCAGCTTCTACGAACGTGCTGGAAGGTACGATACGCTATCGTGTCGCGTGCATAGATTTCATTATTAGTCGAGCATTTTCTGCGACGTTGCAATTTACTACATGTCTCTTTGCAAATGTTAATTAAAATTACGATTTTTGCCGGGATTTTACATCAACACTGATATGGTTGCTTTAATCGATGCGATTAAATTGGATTTGAATTCTTGTGTAGGGTGAAATGTCTGGGAAATCCAGACCGTGAAGGGTCTGTCAGTATCGTCGGTGCTGTGTCGCCGCCAGGCGGTGACTTTTCCGATCCTGTGACGAGCGCAACGCTCGGTATCGTACAGGTACGAACGCGACGTCCGGGTGCGTGTAAAAAGGAAAGCGACATCGATAAACTAATATTTGATTCTTAGGTGTTCTGGGGATTGGATAAAAAGCTTGCGCAACGCAAACACTTCCCGTCCATCAATTGGCTTATATCGTACAGCAAGTATTTGCGAGCGTTGGACGATTTCTACGACAAGAACTTCCCGGAGTTCGTCCCGCTGAGGACGAAAGTGAAGGAAATCTTGCAAGAGGAAGAAGACCTGTCGGAAATCGTGCAGCTGGTGGGTAAGGCTTCGCTCGCCGAAACGGATAAAATCACGCTCGAGGTGGCGAAATTGCTGAAGGACGACTTCTTGCAACAAAACAGGTACGGAATCGTTTCGCGATATTTTTGTGATTTTGTTATAAATGTTGAATGACATAAATAGATACGACGTAGCTTGCGAAAGAGTTTTCTAATGCTTTTTGCAATTTCTTTTAGCTACTCGCCGTACGATCGTTTCTGTCCATTCTACAAAACCGTGGGAATGCTGCGAAACATGATTGCGTTCTACGATATGGCGAGACACGCGGTGGAATCAACAGCCCAGTCAGATAATAAAATCACGTGGAACGTCATTAGAGACAGCATGGGCAATATTCTTTATCAACTGAGTTCCATGAAATTCAAGGTGAGCAATTTTAAATGTATTATCACGCTGTTGCAGTCAGATGTGATGTGATGAATTTTATTATTTTATTCTTTGCCTTGAAATTTTAGGATCCTGTTAAGGACGGCGAAGCGAAAATTAGGGCGGACTTTGATCAGCTGCACGAGGATATTCAACAGGCATTCAGGAATTTAGAGGACTAAAATTTCTAAGCTTGTCACTTGTTAAAAGCAATTTTAAGATATTGATTGTTCTATAATATTATCTGGCTCTAACATTTAAGGATGTCCCGGTCTAATTTGTGAATGCAGATAGCTTGCCGAATATACGATCACAAACAGCGTTATGTCATGTATTATTTGCCATAAACATGTATTCTTGAAAGTGCCCGAATTGTAAATAGAAAAGTTATGAAACAACTTCCGATATTAGCCGACACCGCGCGGCGGAACTATACACAAGACAATGCAACACGTCATACGCGTGACGATTGAGACAATAAAACGGGACATTCTTAAATGCGTTCAAAGCGTATATTTGAAGAGATGTGGCTCTACGTCGAGGATTCACTTGCTTGAATCGAGAACCGAGAGCTAATTGGTAATTAGTCGAATATTACCAGAAAAAGTCAATCTTTCCCCTCGCGGAGACACTTGATTTTTTTTTTGTCCGCTTTGTTGAAAGTGCAATTGAATAATCCGAAATATTGATATTCTCACATGTTTTCTGTGTGTATAAACGAAGGTATGAAATAGCTTCCCGTTTTATCCTGACGCGCGCAGACTAGAATTATTATATGAAAAAGAAATACTCTCGAGTTATCAAACACGTGGCATGTGGATGACATGGCAGTTTTATCTCGCAAGATATTGGATCGCGGAGTATTAAGTGGAGTATTGTAACATATAATGTACTATTTAAGTGCGATAAGTGATGATCGCAACTGCACATAATTAAGCATACTATATATATATACCTTAACAGTAAAACGTTACAAATATGATTTAAGTTTAGAGAAGAACACACATTAGATAAATGATCGAGGTGTAGGGTCGTCGTTGTGAAGATAAATAGAAGGAAAAGAATATACGCATGATGAGACCGACCAGTGTTCCATTGACTTCGATATCATTTCCAATGTATAATATGTAAAAAAAAAAAGAAACAATAAAAAATTATGCACAAGAGGACTTGCCTTGTGAGGGTGGATAACGGTATTGCCAAATCAATTAAAACGATTCTCAATAAACTTCGTTTTAATAATAATAATTATTATACAACAATAACCTCGCGTTATGTACATTAACGATATATTACATTCCGACGTCTAACGCTTGGTGGATTAATTCTAACGCGCTTTTTCTTTCACAGAATCATCTCGTCTTGAAAAAAATATGTTATTGCCACATCCACACACTGATCTATGCATATGTACACATACGCGTATATATACAGGTGTAAATATACAGTCATATGTGTATAATTGATCTATTTTTACAAGTTAATTCTTAACTCGCCCTATGAAGTACCCTATACAATTATGAAAACAGTATTAAAAATAAAAAATATGTAACGAACTTTGCACAGTTGCGTGATCGTCGTATTCGCAAGTCAATGCAAATCAACAAAAATTACCTTTTCTTTCAAAAGTAATCTTGGTTGCACCGCCGTTTAAAAATCAGTTTTGCGAAAAAAAAAAATTGTTAACATTTTGATATTCACAGCCACGATATTCCCATGTATGCCAACTGCATTGGCATATTACGTCTACGTGTGATACTTCCGTGTCCATTCAGATCGATTTTTCAAATATCAGTCATAACTACACGGTTGTAAAAGAATATATAAAAAAAAAAAGAAAAAAAAAACAGAAAAATTATTAAAACTTTTGTACTCACTCAATATATGATATACATATATATTTCTAAAATTCCAAAAATTCTTTTAGTAAATATATAAATTAAATGCATATGTTGTATGTACATTAATAGTGTGATTGATATGAACAATCCGATCCCTTTTTCTTTCTGAGAATTTACGAGATTAAGATTTTTCAAGTATTATATGCAATTGTTCTGTGTGACGTATTTGTATTTCACTAAAATAATAATTAAACGTAATAAAACGAAATAATCTTTTCCAACTTTGTCGTCATGCTTTTGATTGTATTATAAAAACTGATCAAGTGCAGAAATTGATAGTGCAATTTATTTAAAAAATGTCTTTAAAAAATACACTAAAAGTATTCTAACTCTAAAGAAATTTTTGGATATTATTTGTACAAGCTGAAAATTTGTTTTTACTCGCCAAATAAAAAGTGATGCTAATTTTAATAAATTAAAAGATTAACTTGTAGCATTGACATTATAAAAGCATGAACGTGTAGCTATGACTATAAGTCTGCTCTTTATAGCTGAACTGGCTGCACTAGTTCAGAGTTTATCTTTTTGTTTCCAACGTGGAGAAAAAAAAATAGTCTAGTTCTAGTGCAGCCAGTTCAGCTATAAAGAACAAATCTTATTTCATTAGAAAAGCATCTGATTTTATTTGCACAAGGAAGTCGGAATATTTGAAAACTTGTTAAAGTTTGGTGCAAGTTGTCACAAAAGAGAACGAAAATTTAGGATCCCCTATATGGTAAGATAACATTCATAAATCCTAGTATGTACAGAAAGAATTACTAACTCATGAATTAGAGGAAGCTTACGAACTCAAATGTACAACGTCAGTACTAGTGGCCGATGACGAGGGTGATATTTGTGATCTGAGTTGGAGATTTTCACGTTTTAATTGGGCAACTAATTGTTTTAGCGCCGTGATTTCTTGCCGCAGTTTGTCGTTGTCCCGTAAACATTGACTTAGATTTTGATTAGCTGTGCGCAGTTCTCCTATATATTCGCAGGCCTTTGCCAAAATGCCTCCTTTACTCTGTTGTGAAAGAATAACAGTCGTTAAAAAGATACTTGAGCAATAAAAGTTTCATTATTTACCTGAGTTTCATAATTGGTCTTTCCTTCTCCACTGCTGCCACTGCCAGTCGTAGTAGTACTAGGATTACACTCGGGTATGATTTTACCTAACTTTGCAATCCAGTTATTTATTTTGTCTCTACGCCGACGTTCAACTTCATTGTGCGTTGCTCTCCGCCTGTCGTCCCTCTAATAGAGCCGAAAAAAATTACTTCTCACGTACTTAAAGCGAGTGAAATAATGATAAATTGTATTGAACCTTCTTCAAGCCAGCGGTACAATTTCTTGGGGTTTCTATCTGTAAAGCGGTTGCCCTTGGCATCAAGGATCTCGATGCCTGGGCTGTGGTGAAGACATCGTTCGCGTTGCCAATAACATAAAACTGTCCGTTCAAAGGTGACGTCAGAACTTGCACTGTATTATTCCCTGGTTGCGACACAGGCAGTTCTATCTCGTTGGCTGATTGTATATCTGGCGTACCATTCACTTGAACAAACCGATATGCTAAGGTTTCTTGATAATGCATTTCATCCTCTGCAACAGGCTCCCCTGAGAAAAATAAAACACATCCATGTAAATTGATCTTTAACAACACAAAATTGAACAAGTTATTCTAAGTAAATCCGACAGTAGTATAGTTTGCAAGTGAAGATGTACGAGTTGAAAATTTCTTGCCGAATGCAGTATGCTCTTACCGTCGCAATCCACGATTTCCGTTTCCTCTATAACAATCCCCGAGCCATCGCCGTCTTCCTTCACGACGCTGCAAAATTAAACAACACTTTGAGGCGCGTTATCGTCTCATCTTAACGGAGTTTCATGCTATGTGTATTACTTCGACGCCTGTGTGTCGATCCTACGGCGTAAGTAAGTGCGCACTGTGCACTAAGTGATGATGACCTTGAGGAGACCTCGGGCGAGACGGAAGGGATAGGTGTTCGCATAATCAGGCGGTCGATATTTAACGTAAACGCTACCTGACATCCTGCTGTTCGAGTTGCTGCTCCAAAATGTCCATCCCTCGCCGCCGGAAAAAAAAACGTTTGAATTTGTCAAAATTCACGTGAGCTGGTCACGGGACACGGCAACGAGGTCATGTGGTGTACAAGATGGCGGCGCGTTGCGCGCGTCATCTAGCGTGGAGATAACGGAATGACGTTGTGCAATGAAAATTTGGATACTATGCAAATTCTTCATTATGAGAAGATATACCGACTTTTACCAATCGGAAGTTGGCGTTGCGAAAAAAAGTAACTATGTCGAAACATACACCAAAGAATTGCTCTTCAATTGCTTCTTCGATATCCGTAATTGTTCCACTTAATTTATTAATATTAATAAAATTATACATGAAAATAATCACCAATTTTTACTTAGCAAATAATTTTATTTATTAAAAAAAAAATCTATTCTTATGAAACAATTGCTCCTCAATCGCTTTTTTAAATTCTATTGTTAGATTTTTAATTTTTGTTTAGTTTTTATTTATAAAAATTAATAAATGTTGATGCGTACAATCAGTGCTGCCAACTATTGAAAGCAATGATGCATAGAAAGCACTAGATTTTTATAAATTTTTTAAACTGTTATATAAACTTAATATTTTTGAAAAATTATCTTTCTTATATCCATAGTACATTAGATATGTTTTAAATTTAAGGTTTAATTATTACATCGCGGTTGAAATTCTTTTTATCAATCCTTACTAATATACATAATGTACATACTAATATAATATAAAGCGATTGAAGAGCAATCGTTCTATAAGAATAGATTTTAATTACTTTTATTCGCAGCGTCAATTTTTGATTTTTGTAATTATTATATCGTGTGGCCGAAATAGTCGATAAAGTCACTGCTCCTACATACCTCCAGTCGCTCCGGGCCCTCGAAGTAGTTACGAAAATATTTTCAAAAGTCAAGCTGCGCATGCGAAGATTTACTTTCCGCACACCGCGCTGAGAGCACAAAGTTTCTTCAGCGCCCGTCAAGATGACCAGGTTAGTGATGTAAATTTTTGAAGGTTATGTTTCTTTGCGCAGTTTTATTCAAATAACTATATATTCTCGTCTTGTTGATCGCTCGCTGATATATCCAGATGAAAAAACGCTCTGAAAAACATTCACGATTGTGATCAAATGTCATACTTTCCTTCAGAATTTGTCCAAGCTACACATGCCGAGATAGCCATTCTATCTTGAATTTTACATTTGTATTTAATTACAGGTCTAAAATAGAATTAGGCGACGTGACACCACATAACATAAAGCAACTGAAATTATTAAATCAAGTCGTATTCCCAGTTTCATATAACGAAAAGTTTTACAAGGATGTACTAGAAGCTGGAGAACTCGCCAAACTAGCATATTACAATGACATAGTGGTATTTAAAATGATTATTCTAGTATAACAATTCTCAAATCATGCTCTGTAAAGATTATGAGGGAGGGATACTGAAAAAAATGATGATAAATGCATAACTTAGTAAAAGTTGAATAATCTGTATAGATAAGATTAATTAAGAGAAATGCATGCTACATAGTATATATTAATAGTTTACTTAAATTTCTTTACACGTGTTCTGCTAGCAAAAAATAAAAAATCTAATTTAAACTTTAGTGTAAACAAAACGTAAACACAAGTATTTATGCGTTATGTCGTGATTTTCAGGTCGGGGCAGTCTGCTGTCGTGTAGATACTTCAGAAAATTCTAGACGGTTATATATAATGACATTGGGTTGTCTTTATCCATACAGAAGATTAGGAATTGGCACTGTTATGGTCCAGCATGTTTTAAACTATGTTAACAAAGATGGAAATTTTGACTCCATTTTCCTGTAAGTATAATGTGCATTTGTGTTACTCTAATGAACAATTTCACAAGAGGGTATTTCACTTTAATAACGCTTATTTCACATTTGCAGACATGTTCAAATAAGTAATGAAGGCGCGATTGACTTTTATAAGAAATTTGGATTTGAAATTGTCGAAACTAAAGAGCATTACTATAAGAGAATAGAACCAGCAGATGCACATGTGCTGCAAAAAACACTGCGTCCTCGAGCAAATCAAACAAATCATCAAACTGTCAACTCATAAGTAGCATTGTTTTCATTAATTTATCTTTTTCATAATTTAGAATTGCATATATACCCATGTTCTGTCAATAAAATCATTTTATATTATATCTTTTGCTGTGTTGTGAGTCAAATAATCTCCCTTATCTGCATACACATTGATTATTCAGAAAACAACAATGTTTATCCAATTGTCTGAATAATTCATTCATTGAATAGAAGATTTTAATCAGTTTTTTTGTATTAACGAATGATTGCAGTAAGTTTTTTTATTTGAATTCATTAAATATGTTGAAACAAATTCACTGACTGTTCAGCATGTTCAGTATCTAAGAGTCAATCGTGTTATAAAAATATTCCTTTGGGTGTAAAGACCAAAATTATAATTTCCATTGTTTACCATACATATGTTTTTATTGTCCATCAATCTTTTTCTACTCAGATGTATTTAAAAATTTTTACACAATATTTAAATTTTTTCATTTTTAGAAAATTGTGGCGTTAAAATGATTGCATGCATATTAAAAATATATGTATAAGAAATAACAAATATTGCACTTTATAATTGCTTTACATATTCAAAATTGTCATGTAAAATGAGTATTGCAGAATTAATGCACGAAAAAAACGTGCAATCTTTACATAATTTATTATCTAATATAATATATAGCTCATGTGGATATACAAGATATACATACGTGTAGAAATACATGTGTGTAAAAAGAAATCAAAATATAATACTAAATATCTATAGTACTGCGTGCAGGATATTTGTATCCTTATTCGCTAATATCGCTGTGACCAGAACATTTAATGGACTCGGAATACATCCCCGTATTTTAATTGTTTTGAATAATGTTGCAATGCGACACATCGATATGTTGGATTGTTATTACAGATGCAATCAAGATATTAGTTATCTCAATCACATTAATATGCAATAACAACAATGGTTAATATAGTAGAAAATTAGCATACAGCATTGCTCATTATACGCCTACACCGTGAAACGTTACAAATAGTTAAGCCGCTGAAAAAAAATGATGGATGCTTGGTCGCATCTAGACACAATTACATTCGCTGTATAAATAGGCGTTTTGCGACATTGAAGTACGTTTCCCGTTTACTCTAAATTAACATATATATATTTTTGATAACAGTAATAAGTTTTCAATATTACATAGTTACAGCTCCAGCAACTCTTTCAATTTTCTGGCACAGATTTCCGCACCTTCCGCCGCCTCTTTCGAAACCTACAACAAAGCGATGCAATCAAAGAAATCAAAAACATAATTTTTATCTTCACTATATATATTATTTTCATTGTCCATTATTTATTTTCCATTAAAATAATTCAGATTTATAGAATAGTAAATAAGAGAGTTTTACCACTAAAAGATTGAGGAATCCGTGCGGCAAATTTGATAATATATCCAGCGTAACTTTATTGCCAAGCGAGCGAAGCTTCCTCGCAAACATGACGCAATCATCAAGACAAGGGTCAAGATGCACCGTCTAGAAATGCAATATACACACGTACAGTCTGCTCCAAAACTTTTCACTTAATGCAGCTAAAAACATATTAACACACTGCATATTACTGATAAAAATCTAAATGCTTACCAGCATCTTTATAGGTGGCATGCGAGCTAGCATGTTATCTGGCGCGAGATAAGGGCTCAAGAAGGGATCCCTTGGTACCGTAAAGATAAATTCTTCGGTAGGACTTCGGACGTTCTCCGTATCGAGTTCTCTGATCTCCTTATTGCTATTTCTGCCCAAAGACCATCCGAACAGAGACCACGATTTGTTACTTTGTCCCGAGACGTTACCATCTCTGCTGACGCCGCCGTTTTTTGTTGCAGGCGACGATGACGAAGCGAGGCCGGAACTTCTGTACATATTTAAAAACCTGTTGATATATTCTTGAGACTTCGCCTGCGTTTTCGGGCACTCAGCACCTATCGCAAAGATTTTTCAAAATGTATATATATTCCAGAGGTGTGTACGTCGATTAAATCGTAAGTAGGATATATATATAGGCTCGTCTGATTTATATGTACCATCGACTTCCGTCAGACTGACAGAATTCAACGTCGAATCGGACGGTAGGGATACTAATTTCTGCGCGCCGTTCGCATCGTCACCGTTCGGGCTCAGAGCTAACGCTATGAGATCACTTTCGCTCACTTCCGCAAAGGATTCTGTATCCGATTTCGCGCATTCTCCATTCTCCTGCTCCCTGTTGTGCAAAGTAACTTGATTACGTGCGTACATCAACGTACATGTGCGCGCGGACGAGAACGCTTAGGCGATCCGTACGCGTTCTACTTCAAAATTTAAACTTTTAATGCAAAGGTACAATAGTTTTAATTAGAATCTTACTTTGTGGGTTTTTTGTTGTCGCACGCTGCATAGGCCTTCAAGCATCGGATCATAAAGCCAAACGGCAATAACGGATCCGTGAGGCAGAGCAGTCGAGAGGGCGACGGGACAAACTCTACGAGCACTGGTGCGTACGCTATAAAGAGACCGTCTGGTTTTTTTATGTTTAACTGCAGGCATTTCAGAGTGGCGCCCAAGCATAAATTTGCTCCCGCAGAGTCACCTGTGAGAGATCATTTCCGTTTTACAGAACTGAATAATCAGCTGTCAGCTGTTCGATCATAGATTTATCTTACCGACGAGTATCACTTTCTTCGCCGTACTTCCGAGTAACGTACTAGCATGCTTCAATGCCCACGCGTAAGCGTACAGCACTTCTTCGAGCGCGCGAGGATAGGGAGCTTCCGGGGCCAGGCTGTAGTCTATGCTTAAGATCGGCACGCCGAGTGTCGTGGACCAGCTACGCAGGTACATTTCGTGCGACCGCGACGTCTGCGACACGAATCCACCTCCGTGGATGTGAATGATCAGTTCGTCGCACAGGCCGAGCAATTCCCCTCCGATACCGCCGGATCCGACCTTGAAATGTTGCTTGTGAAAAAAATATTACCAGCATTTTGCACGTGGAGAGAAAGTAAATTGACATCTCATTTACCAGTCCTATGCGCCGTTTGGAACTCAACAATCTAACGTGGATCGGCTTCTTCCCAATGTGACTATTTGGTATTGGAATCGGAATAGTGCCGCCGTCGAGAGTAGGTAGGATCAATTCCTCGGGTGGAATAGATATTACTTGAGTAATGGCTAATGAGGGGCTCATTATAGTCATTATTTCTAAAAAAAAAAAAAAGACATTTCTTATCATTTAAATGTTTAAACAATACGTGTTCCAACATTGAATACAATTTAAAAAAATTGTTTTCACTTGATGCAATTTAACGAGTTTTTTTTATGTCTTACCAGATTCATTCAGGAACCAAAATGCTTGGCAGAAAGAGATATCAGCATGTTGAGATACGTTAACGATGCGACGTGCTCTTGCTTCAGGGTCCAATAAATATTTAACGGAATTGGCACAACGTCCTAATAGTGTACCGTTATTATAATACATTTCACTAAAGGATGCCATACAGAATGACAAGGTCTTCAATACATGCTTCAAGCTATCACAAAACTGCAAAAAAAAAAAGCAAACAATACCATTTACGCGATCAGTTATTCGAGAAAAAAAATGTTACAGGTCATTTGTAGATCAATCACAGATACCTGAAATCCTAAGCACCTGCCGTAAAAGCAGTACTGATTAATGTCTTCCGCCTGGCTGAGGAGCTCTTCAGCAGTGTGATCTCCCAACGCGAACAATGACGGTTTCCCATCGCTCATCACTTCTATACTCCATGTGTACAATGTTTTCAAATGTTGTAAACATGTATACAGCGAGGCCAACAGCTGGGAGCACGCTTCCACCTCCCTGCAAATTTGCAAATTGAACATTCGGTGTTGCATTTACTGAGCAAACATTACGACCCGCAGTTTCTACGGGCTGCACACTTACTTCATGTAATAACTCTTCCGGAAGAGCATAGAGTCCTTCTGATAGTACATCTTCCGGCAGATCTGGCCGGAATGCATGACGCACTTGTCGACCAACAGGAGGAAACTTCGGTACCCGTTTCCCGGCGTCTCCTCGTCGAAGTCGAAGTGCGGCGCGATCTTGGCTATCTCCCGGTACAGCGGCTGCAGCTGGTCCAGGTGGTCCAGGATCGCCAGGAGCGCGGCCTTGATCCGGACGCTGTTCTCGTCCTGCTGGGGCGCGAAGTACTCCACACTGGCGCGGCACATCTCCCGCAACGCGCCCCACTGCAGCGGCTCGAAATCCTCGAACGGTCTCTCGAAGTCATCGTTGTGCGTTGACATCTGAACGATCCCAGTCGATCCCGAATGATTCTCTGCTCTTCGTGTCTCGGCGCCGATTCGGGGCAGCGCACCGTCTGGTCGCTTAACTGTAAATAATTCTAACGGGCGGAACGAACGACTGTGCCGTGCATCTTCGACTACTGGCGCATCTGCCGACGGACGCGAATCTACGAGCCGAGCCCCACGTGATACTCGGAACTGTCTTAATGATTATGCAATGCGCGCATCGTGAATAATAAGCGTGATTTCTTTTAGGTTAATTTTCGGGCGGCTGTTGTGTCGCGCTGCACTTCAAAACAACGACTCGCCCGTCATTCCGTAAGATCGAGGCGGGGCGACGAGGGACGAAGATTGCACAAATGTCACAGCGAGCTTCGCGGCACCGTAAAAAACTTGCCACTTGGCACTTGACATTCAGCGAGCGGTTTCACTGTCGCGCTTCGCCGATACAATGCGAGAACGCGCTCCAGTTTTCAGTGCCGCCCGTGTATGCCTTTCTCTCTATCTCCCTTCCTCCCTCGCGCCCTCTCGCTCCCTCGTGCTTGATATGTCAAAAGTTTGGATGCGCAATAGGAATCTCTCTGTCTCGAATGGATGAAGGATCGTCGTAAAGATAAGAAATGTGATTCACGCGCAACTTTCTTTGTCTCGCGCAAATCAGTTGACCTAATAGATTATCGTGCAATGCTGTAACATTGAATCGATGATTCAAGATCTATTTACATTTTTGCATATCGAATGCAGTAAGAACGACTGGCGAAACAAAGAACGTCGATCGACATTGCGCAATTTTTTAAACAAATAAATTGTATTATATTGAATAATGATTTATAGCAAGCGGATTTCAAGATAATTTGATCAATTTAATCGCCCAAAGTGTTTTGAAGAAAATGTTGATAAAGGAATTCATTTTCTATTAGCGCGAAAATTTCTTGAGAGACCATTAATTTCTTATTTTTAACATGAAATATATCTCGGAATAATTATTGAATGGATAGAATAAAAATCTGCTGATTCCAGCTTCATGATTTTTATATTGATGAATAAATAACAGTAATGAATGCGACTCCAATATGACATGGTTCATTAGCGAGATAAGACTCGATGCATCGACGTTTGAATGATTAAGTAAACTTGAGCCGAGAACTGTATCATTATTTTCTTTTAAATTATAATTCCACGAAACTTTCGCACTCTTTACGAATATTTCGATTCAACGTAATCTTACCTACAGATAGCGAGAAAAAATTGATTTAATCAAAATTAAATCTCTTCCTCGAGCAATACTGGTCCCAACGCTTCGACGAATTGGCCAAAAATTAAAATAAAAAAAAAAACTTCTAGAAGAAAACACGAATAGTGACTAGCGAACATGCAAATTGACGATAATGTTTCCGCGTTGCGTACCTCGACGCCGCGTCAGTAACGATACGTGCGATCGATGATAGTTTTGTCGCGAGACTATTTTTGCTCGCAAAACGCGACCAAGTGGCGGACAACGTCGTGCGCGTCATTGTCGTCATCGCGCAGCGAATGCATTTACATTCTTAGATTAAAAACAATTTCGGTAGCATTGCAAATGAAGTCGACCGCTAATTATCGTAAAAGCGGTAGAGAATGAAACGTCAACTTGTCGCGCGTTTCAAGTAAACAAAAAAAAAGAAAACAAGAAAGCAAATAACATTGAAGAATCATACACAATACGTGTGTCCGACAAAATAAAATTTATGTACACGTCGCATTGTTATCTCACTGCTTAAATGCGCAGCGAAAAAGTGAAAAATGTTCCCGGAAAGATGCAAGCGTTCGGCCAACAAATTTTGTAATCGTTATCAGCAATGATACAAGGTCTATTTTAATTCCGCCATCGGTAAATGATATAATTGAACGACATCCGGTTAACAGTTTGCTTTAATCTGTCCTTATCGCGTGTTTTTGCAACGATTGTAATGAAGAGAGCTCACAGCGGGAGTTCTTTATAATTTATTTATTGATAAGTAAAATTACATATATCCACAAACACAATACGTTCTTTTCACGGGGTGTAATGCGTTAAAACTTGTGAGCGGCGAGGAGAAACACCTGCGAAGGAGAAAGAGGGACGAGGAGAGTTTGTTTTTAGTCTTTCGACACTGCCCCTTGTGTGTGTTTCGTGAACAACAGCAAATCACGATTACTTTCCCTCAATCGAATCAATCGGGAAGAATCGAAGGGGACGGCGCGAGGGCGAAGCGAGTCCGGAATTTGCGAGGTGCACTTTAAGTATTAAACTGCGTCTATAAAATAGACCTCACGAATTACGAACCGACCTCATATTCTCGAGCCCTTCAATCCTTGAAAATTGTTTAAAAAAAAAAAACACAAAGTACGCATGTACAAACACGCGCGTTGTATAAAATACACGATACACATATGTGAGAGCATATAAATATTTATTACATGTGTATATATTACGTGTTAATTATTCCATGCATTTAAGAGAAAACGCAAATTGTTCTTTACGCAAGATTTTCCGGCATAATTATGCAGGATTAAAATTTCTGATCTTAAAAATTCCAATAACACGCTGTGCAAGTACGAATGATCGCCCGTGATAGCCGCGCCGATTGGCGGCCGCTAATCAATTTTGTCTCCGCACCGCTTCCGGCGCGCGGAAAAAAAAAAAACTCTACGGATTGCTATTGTTCACAGAAGAAAGCAAAATTCTTTCGCACGTAGTGATATTTCTTCGAATTTTCGACGCTACGAATGGAAACATATCGGGAGCAATTATATAGTTTCCCTTGCGCCACGCATTGCCTTCATATACATTATACTTATACATACATAACACGACGCGTTAAGCCTTTCGCATACAAGACGAGGATTCAAGTTACATTAACGTTTGTAAATTTTATTTACTTATTTTTTTTTTTGGTAACGGAGGCGAGACCAGATTTTGTTATCACGTTGCGCAAAGGTCGACGAAAAGAAAAAAGAAAAAAAAAAACGTTTTACGGGATCGAAAGTAGCAGCGCGAGGACACAATATCGCGCTGTGTACCGCAATCGTCGGACGACGAGAGGGGTAGCGCGCGAGGAAACACCGAAAAAATTGTAAAAATAAAGTCTGATTTCATTATTATACTCTTTCTCCGTCTCTTGTAAGACTTGCTAATCTCTGGACTGCGACTCGAAGGACGTATATTTCTTTTTTTTTTTTCTTCTTCTTCTTTGTTTCTTCTTCCTCTCCTTTTCCTCACGTCTCACATGGCTTTTAAGCTAAGTTTACCTCGATATAATATATATACTTATTACCTCTTTACAAAAATCAATTCTTAAACTTATATATACGGAGGTGGCCCGATGCAAATTCACAGTATCTTGAAGCGCGCGCGCCGACTTTCTCTCTCTCTCTCTCTCTCTCACGTTATCTCTACCTTTTTTTTTTTCTTTTCCCGCCACAACCGAATCACCGAAACGTGATATGCTTCGACTACTGGCTAATACTGATACCTCCCCGATGTCTTCTACGAAAGTCATCGGGAGAGCATTGGACCGTTGTTGCTCGGTATGGCGCGATCGCGCGTTTCTACCGTCGATAAATATCGGTGAGCCGATTCACATACTTATACGCGTATTCCGAATTCGCCGTGTTTTGCTTTGCACTTAATCATTTAAATTTTAGCGAACGATACAGTATATATATGTGTGTGTATATATATATATATATATATATTGCACGCGTGCCTAAATCATCCTTAACGCAAGCCAATCGTATAATCGCAAACTATCTTTCCGCGAGAGCAGCACTAGCTCCGTGTGAGCCTTAGAAAAATAACAAGCCCCTTCTACAATTCGCTCAAGAGAGTCTTCAGCATCTGTGAATCCGTATCAAGGTCAGGTTTCTTTATATGCGATGTTGTCAATGTTGTTTAACGACTATATATACGCTATAGGTACATAATGTTTAGTTTAATTTAATAAGTATACATGTATATGCATGTGTATATTCATATATATATTTGTATATATATATATATCTATATATATTATCCATACGTCGCACACACACACACATATACATATATAACAGATATTTTATATCATTATTGTTAACGCATTGATGCTATCTTGTTATTCATATAGTCATAATACATTCACTGGTATAATTGCTATCGTCTTATAATATATCTAAAATAATATTTTTAACATTCAGCGATGTGTTGTTTATATGTGTGTGTCTGTGTCCTGCATCCTGTTGTTGTTTTGTTTATCGGTTATTACACACCCTTTTCCACCGGAGTTGCGTGAAGACAAACGATCGGTGTGTGTGTGTGAGACTCGCGCTAGATAGTTAGGAAAGGCAGCTGCTTCACGTGCGCTTAGGAATAATAATATCTAAGGAATTTTTTTTTTTTCTTCAATCGCCCTTTGAATTCCCGCGGGCGATCGAACACGTGCCGCGCACGACACAATCGTAGCAAAGTGAGCGCGATCGAAGGGTTCGCCGACTTAACACGTTACTGGGAATGTACGTACGTCACGCGTGGACCGTGCGGAATATTGAGGGACGGAACGGCGGCTTCTTTCAGCGGCCTGCTCGCCGCCTGTTCGTAATAATCGCGCGCGCCGCCGAGCCGTGGGTGTCCGTCCCTTTCGCATGTAAATCACTCGCCGCGTCAATACGCGCGGCTGGTGCATCGGCCGCGGCCCGAACACGCCGGGGTGCGATGCGATCGTTCGATTGACGGCGCACTTCGCTCGTCGTCATGCCGCCGCCATAGAAAAGATGATTCAAAAACGCTGTAAAGATGATTAAAAAACGTTCTAATCTTTTAGACCACTAAAAAAGCGTCGCAATCTTTCGGACAGCGAAGAGATATCCCGATCTCTCGGACGAAAAAGATCCTTCGGATGTTTCTTTTTTTTTTCTCTTCTTTCAGATCTCTCTTTACGACTCCACGATTGGATATTATCACTGATCACAACCACTGATGGCCGAAGGGACGGTAATGGGCTCTGTGGACTGGCAGCGCATTCGCGCGTCTCGTATTCGCCGAGTCGAACGCATCGCATCGCACCGCGGGTGCTCCTTTTCCACAAAAACAAGTCCGACGAAAGCGCGTAGCGTGTTCTGAGGTGAATGAGAAAAGAAAGAGAAAATGCTGTGCTTCCCCACGCGACCCAGGCGCTAAAGTGCGGGCTACTACCTTTTTTTTTTTCCATTTGACCATATACAAATATATAAGCATTAAACGTGTAATATATTATATCATCATCATCGTCGTCGTCGTATATAATTAATAATATCCTAAGATAGTTATTGTATGAACGATCTTTTTTTTTTTCCTTTTTTTCCGAGAACGCAAAACGCGAAAACGAAAGAGAAAGACGATTACTTCAACAGCTGCCACTTTTGTCTTTTTTTTTTTTTTCTTTCGACTCAACAAGTCGGAGGTACTAATGCCACTCGAAAATGATCTCCGGTTGAACTGTTCCTCTTGTTCGGCAGCGTCGGCGTGACCTCCTCGATGGCGAACGGCCGCCGTTTCTCGGCGAGATCGAACGAAGCTGCCGAACATTCTCCATACTAGCGTTCTCTCAGCACCTCGACTGAAAAACAGTGGACTTTTTCGCGTGGAATGATAAGAGCATCCTGCTTCCTCGTCGCCATTAACTCGAGATACGTCAATGATTCTTAATTTCCTTACATTTTAAGATTTTTTTTTTTTATCATCTAGAAGTAGACGTTAAGTACTGAAAAAAGATCATCGAGAGAAACCAGGCAGTGGGAATCGAACGGAGACGGAGAGAAAAAACAGCTGCATCACGAAGACGGGTGTAAACGTGCAACGATGACATGGTGTGTGTGTTCTGATATTTCAAGAGTGTCGCGTAGCTCGCTCGCGCTCGGTTATTTTAGCATAACGTTAACGATTACGCGATTAATCGGAGTATTTATTCTCTATTTATGCTGCTCCCAATGACAAGCTACTACGATCGCTATCGCCTTTATTTTATTTTATTTTTTTTTGTGTAGTATTTAAGCTGCATTATTGCCATTGATTATCTCCGAAAATATCAGAACCTAAAAATACAGCAAAGAGCGCAACGACAACGCGCCCGCAAATCGTTCGTGTAAACGCGTGTTCTATCGTCATTCGAAATATCGTAATGCTCGCCCCGGCGAGCGAGGGCGATCGGCTGGAATGCCGATCGGCGATCGATCCGCGGAGCTTTCGGCTGCGGCGCACAAATGTATAGAGGCGAAGGAACATCGAGGTAACTCTAAAAACGGCGTTTTTTTTTCTTTTTTCTTCTATACTTTTACAACACGAGCGCTCCTTCCTGCGTTTTTATATCGACGTGTATGACAACGTAATAAAAACAATGTATGAGATACTTCCGAAGATAGCGTGTAAGATTCGTGGTTTCGTATGGCACATAGGTACGTTGAATTCTACATCGCGTTGTCTCCCGTAGAATCCGTTTCGTTCCCATCTAGCGTTGTCCCTGCTACAAATTTTATTTTACACATATTGTCAATCCTTTCGCAAAAACGATTCGCACCGCGACGTGTCGCCGGAGTGTGTACAAGTGGCTCGCATAGCGCGTGATTTGCCGATTAGGAGACGCAAGTTCGGATTGAGTTGGCGCGCTTCCTCGGGAATGTACATGTCCGGATCTTCGGAAGAATCTCTTTCGGGGGCAGGGGGGAGGGGAGGTTAGAGATATACATACTATTTATATATCTTACTCTAACAAAATACTATGAGATTCTTGAAGAAAATACGCGAGAACGAATACGTGGTTGCGATCAGCTTTCGGAAATCAAAACTGTGAGTCTCGCAGGTGACGGCCGAATTATTCCTTCACCTCGAAGTATTTGTATGTAGGATTCTCGTAACCGTTGATCTGCATGTTCGCGACGTGCCGCTCCTCGGGTGTGGCCGCCTGATCGACCTCGATGAAACCCTGTCGCCAAAAAAACAAGAAATATCAGTTGCGTTATTAATTGCGCGTCGTTATGATATCGATATTATATATTATATATATATA